TTCTTTAGAGGAGGCTCAATAGCAGAAGTATTCAATTATTTTAAAAAGTAGCAATTAATAATTTTTAGCACATCAGCTTTCCAGCAACTAAAACTTTTTTTTAATTGGCAGGATGTCCTCCTGGTGAAAAGATGAGTTTAAGGTCCTAATTATATCCTCCATTGTTGTAGTACAACCCCACTGAAATTGACCTTCTAGCCAGATTATTCCTGAGGAAACCTCCAGCAGAGCCTGGTTTAGCATGAGCAGCCATGACAGGCTGGAGGTTAAGAAGACAGATTAGAAACATAAAAAATAAGTAAATGATCTGGCAGTTGTACTTTGTAACGTCCAGCGATGGTCAGTTTAGGTACTGTTTGACCATTCATCATCTGGTCAAAAAGGAGACATGAGAGTGCACATTTTCCTTTTTAATCAGCCTGCCTTCCTCACACCAGCTGGAGCTCAGAGCCTGCAGCTCTGACAGAGATAACGAAATCATAACATTGACATCCTGTTGTTTCCAAGGTCCCTCACAGACCCTTTTATCTAAGTCTCCTTGCTCACAGAAGAACAGAAAAAAGAAGATTTTTCAAATTAAATATGAACTTCTAAAATTTACAAGCTAGATAATCATTAAATAAACATTTGCTTACTGCTACTTATAATAATTATAAAATAACAAAATGTTTCATTAATCTGTGCTCAATGATTGTTTCAGCATGTTTACTTGACAAGGTCATAACATTTGCACTCACGCAAGAACAAAGTAAGGTAAAGTTAAATCCATGACACATAATTAGCCTTTGTCCCAGATCAGAGCCTCCGGATCAAAGAAGGCGTGTTTCTGAGATTCTTGGTAATAATCCTCAAACTTATCAACCTCTGGTTGGCTACACAATCATAACATGAGAACATTAAAACCAGATCACTCTGGAGATTCTTCAGCTCTAGAGAAGCTTCAGGCCGGCCACCTGAAGCAAAAAACCTCTTTAACCATAAAGCTTTTGACACGTCGCCGAAACCTTTTTTGCACCTGCGAAGCTGATACAACAAGATAGTTCCTGCAGAACAAGCTGATTCGTTCAACTCCTTAAGAGTTATTCCTGAGACACAAACTAGTTCCAACTGTCGTTACCTGGAGATGACTCTGGACTGACCTTGTCGTACTGCAGTTAATCTATGGACTTCGGTACTTGGGGTGTCCGACCCCCCCGACATCTCGGATCCGAAAAGGGCGTCTCCACTTGGGTATGTAGAACACAGTGAGATTGCGTCTGGATGTGGTTTTGATAACAATCAACCTCATAGCTTAATGCAAACCAAATTCTTTTACATCCAGAACTCACCTTTCCTAGATAAGGAAGTTCTGACTAACATCTCATTCACACATAGGTTCATACATCACATCTAGTTCCATACAGCACAGTAAATTGTCATGTTTTAACTGTTTGAAAATAAATTCTTACTTTTATAAACATGACTGTTTTCTGAATCAAAACGAAGTGTGTACAATCCCCTAATGAATAAAGAATCCTAGAATCTTCTGATTAAAGCACAATAAAGACCAGGCAGGGTGATATTCTATATTTAGAAAGAGTATCACAGCTTATTGGTCATAAGTAGAGGTAATATATATTGAGCTCTTAAAGTACTCAATTTACCAACTCCTACAACTTTCTATGGTAAAGAAGTAAAAAAGGAGGGAGAATTTAGCTATTAGCTCCATCAAATTAAATAAACCCATCTGCTTAAAACCAGAAGTGGTTTGATGGTTGCAGTAATGGCTGTTTGCACAGTATTGCAAAATTCAATAATACAATATACAATATGTATTTATCGTAACTAATTGTAGCTTTGATTCAAAATACTCAACCCAAAAGGAAATTAATGATGACTCTTGAAAGGTAGACTAACAGTTTTTTTATTTCTGATTTGAAACGTACATGCAAACTGTTAGATTATAGAAAACAGATTAAAGCTTTTGGTCATTCAGTGATCTTCCCTCACTTCATGCCTTTGGAATTGGCAGAGCTCCAGACCGTTGCATCTTTCTTTTGTATGATCAATTTGCCGTCATCGGTCAGTTGAAGGCGGCATCTGGAGCAGTTGGAGTCATGGGTGTTGGTTTGCCAACACGGTTTGTCCTGCTGGGTGTACATAACCAGGTTGCAGTCGTCCTGCATGATCAGCTGTGTGGCACCAGTTTTTTCTGTGTCCGAGGTCCACACAGGCTTCCAGCCATAGATGACAAAGTTCCCATCCTCCTGCAGAAACAAGTGGAATAGTTTAACTGTTTATAGAAACGTTACAGATAGGATGACTGAGGTAAACAGGCTTCAATACACTTTAAAAGAGACTAAATACATGTTTACCTGGAAAACTGCCTTCCACTGTCCATTGTTGGACACGAGACTGTCTCCTCTGTGGAGTTCTTCCAGTCTTGTCAAGAAGTTTCTGCTCATTTTTCTGAAAAAGGAAACAAAAGTTCATCTAAAAGACTTGGCAGGTTGATAATAAAAGTGATAAAACAATCTGTTGATGCACAATAAAGCATCAGTTATCTTTAATGACAGAATTACTCACAGCTCTGATTGTCCTGCAGCAGTCAGTCTAAAGGGTGTGATGCTGTTCAGAGTCGAGCCTTTTTATATTGTGGAAGGTGGAGGGGGGGTGGGGGGTTGAGCTGAATACATGTCCTATCATGTTCAGCTTCACCTGTAAAATTAAAACCAATAACACATTATTTTTCCCCACATCTGTGGGTCTTTTATCACGCAGAAACTTGTTGCATCAATTATTTGAAAGCAGGAAAACCAGTATACCTGTAGGGCAGGTTGTTGAGAAAAACAACACTGAAACGCCACATGAACATTTTCTTTAGGCCTTTTATCGCTGGAAGGTTATTAAAAAAGATTCAATTATTTGTTATTTCTTATGTCATATAAACAAAAATTCAAAACAGTTCAGAACAATTAACAAAACGTTATTTACTCAAAATTTATAACCACCCCAGACATTCTCCTACTCTGGCAGTATTCTGTTAAGGAAAGAAAGGTTATCTAAGCAATTTTGAGCATGGCATGGTTGTTGGTGCCAGACGGGCTGGTATGAGTATTTCAAAATCTGCTCAGTTACTGGGATTTTCACTCACAACCATTTCTAGGTTGTGTGACGGGTGGTAGTCGAGGGCGGGGACCTTGGCGGTCTGATCCTCGGTTACAGAAGCTGGCTCTTGGGACATGGCATGTCACCTCTCTGGCGGGGAAGGAGCCTGAGTTGGTGTGTGAGGTTGAGAGGTTCCGACTAGATATAGTCGGACTCATCTCAACGCATGGCTCTAGCTCTGGAACCAGTTTCCTTGAGAGGGGTTGGACTTTCTACCACTCTGGAGTTGCTTCCACTGAGAGGCGCCGAGCAGGGGTGGGCATACTCGTCGCCCCCCATCTTGGTGCCTGTACGTTGGGGTTTACCCCAGTGAATGAGAGGGTAGCCTCCCTCCGCCTACATGTGGGGGTACAGGTTCTGACTGTGGTCTGTGCTTATGCACCAAACTACAGTTCAGACTA